GTGGCAAGGGAGGAGCCAGCACCCTCTATCCAGTCGCATCCGGCCCAGCACCAGGGAAGACCGGGACCTTGCTGGGGGCCCTGGGCAGCTCACATGACCTCTCTGAGCTCCAGTTTCCTCATTTGTTCAGTGACCCCATCCACTCTGTCTACCTGGTCAGTGGAGGATTAAAGGGGGAAGAACAGGAGAATGTAAAGTGGTGGCTGGGGGTGGTATTCAGGGGAGTCCCAGCTGCTGGGGTCCACCTGGGCCCGCTGGGGAAGGTGCTGCATAAACCATAAGTGGTTCTGAACCAAGTGGGGCATGGGCCAGCCCTGGATTATCTTCCCTTGAACTCAGCTCTGGGAGCCACCGGTACCTGCATCCATCCCAGCAGCCTCTGAGAGGGTGTGGGCAGCCCTCAGGCAGGGGAGGGTCTTTGGGACTCTTCAAAGTGGCCGCATGGTGGGCCAGAGCTGTCAGTGGCCAGGGGATAAAATCAGTGATGGGGCTGGGAGGACCTGCATGGGCGTTGAGCCTAGGGCAGGCCAGCTCAGGGAGGAGAAAGCCTGGACCCTGGAGAGGTTCACTCATTCCTTCCTTTATACTGCACGTGTTTGTTGAGCACCTCATTTGTGCCATGCAGACCCCATGCTCAGTGTTGGGTACAGGGCAGTGGACAAGACCCCTGCCCTCATGGAGATCACTTCCTGATGGAGGAACACAGACAAAAAACATAATAAGGAAGTAAAATATATTGTGGTCCAGAGTGATAAGTGCTAAGAAGAAAAATAAAACAGGGAAGGGAAACAAGGGGTGGATGCCTTTTTTTTTTTTTTTTTTTTATAAATAAGGTGTCCAAGGAAGGTCTAATTGAGAAAGTGACATTTGAGCAAAGACGGCAAGGAGGTGAGGGGCTGAGTCAGATGGCTCTCTGGGGGAAGACTATTCCAGCCCGAGGGATCAGCCAGGGCAATGGCCTGGAGCGGGGAGCAGGGAGCGTGCCTCACACGGTCAAGGAATAGCAAGGAGGCCCGCATGGCTGGAGGGGAGTGAGGGAGGGGGAGGCAGTAGCAGATGAGCTCAGAGAGGAAATGGGGGCCAGATGGTGAGGCCTCCTGGACTCACCATTTAAAAGGATCCCTCTGGCTGCTGAGTGGAGAAGAAACTGGGGGAGGGGCAAGGGCAGCACCAGGGAGACGGATAGGAGGCTGCTGAAAATAATCTAACCGGATTTGCTGATGGATTGGATGTGGGAGAGAGAGAGAAAGAGAGAGACAGGGAGCGCATGAGCAAGCAGAGGTGTCAAGGATGGCTCCAGAGAGTTCTGGTCAAACTGCTGGAAAGGCTGGCTGAGCCCAGAGGCTCAGCAGAGACCCTAAGGGAGGCCAGGGATGCTGTGAAGGGTGGGGGGCGGCTAAGCCCCAAACAAGCAGATGCCATGGCCAAGAGGGATCTCCAGCTTGGCAGCCCCTGGTGGATTAGAAAGCTGGGGCTTTCTGTGCCCATGAGGGCTACACAGATCCCAGCCCAACCTCGGGAAGGGTCACCCTCTCTGTGCTCTGGACTGGGGGCTGGGCTTAAAGTGGTCCATGGCCGATATGAACCCTCTCCACACACCCTTCCTACCCATCTACTCATCCATCCACTTACCCACCCAGCCTCCTCCCTGCCCACCCACCACCCTTCCTCCCACCCATCCAGCCCCATCTCAGCACCCCAACTATCCGGGTGCTGTCCCAGACACTGGGCCTGTGTCCATGAACTCAGCAGACAAATCTCTGCTCTTTGTGGACTGACATCTCGTGTCCAGGCCTGAAGCAACTTCACGGGGCAGAATAAGACCAAAGAATAGGCTTACTTCTTTCCAGTTTCAGGTCACTCAACAAGTCTGTGACTACACGCGATCTCATTGTTGAACATTTCTAAGTCATTTCAAGCAAAGTCTCCATCACTAAAAATCTTTGGTCAGGTCATGTCACTGGTTTGGGTTCCAGGAAAGACTGTCAGAATTGAGGGCTCCATGCTGCCAAGACTCAGGGAGGCAGGGATGGGGTGGGGGTGTCCCGAGGAGGTGGTCTTTATACCCGGACACAGAGGGAGAGAGAACATTTGGGGTGGAAGCACGGCATACCCAAAGGCACAGGGTGCATGGGGGTGAGGGGATTCTGCAAAGCCAGGTGGGCTGACCGTGGAGGGTCTCATAGGCCCTGATGGATCATCTGGCCTTTGTTCTGAGGGCAGTGGGAAGCCATTGAAGGTTTCTGAGCTGGGGGATGGCCCACCCTGTGCTGGCGGCACCACGGAGGACGAATGAGAAAAGGCAAATTGTTTTGAGATGGTAGACCAGTGAGGAGGCTGTGGCCTTGATCAGTAGGGATGCTGAGACCTGACCCAGGAGGATGAGGGGTCAAGGCGGGTGGATATGGGATCGAGGGTGACTGTATAGATCTGGTAAGTGGGGTGGGGGCACCACTTGCTGAGGTCTCACAATTGGCCACTTCGGATAACCTCACACCAGACGTGGTCCTACTGCAGTGCACCTAACTTGGAAATGTCCCTATCCACACCTGGCCCTCTGCACCACCAGTACCTGGCACCATCCTGGACCCCGTCTCCCCTACATTGGTGCCATCTCCAAGTCACTTTGATTTTGGCTCCCGGATTCTTCCCCGTGTATCCCTCCTCTGTGCCTGTACAGTCGCAGGCTGGGCCCTGCTCCTCCAGGCTTGGACTAAGGCCATGGCCTCCCCCAGGCCTTATGCCTCCAGCCTTGTACTGCTGCTCCATCCCCTGCAGGACAGCCAAAGAGATCTTTCTTGAACCTGAGTCTGGCATGCCACCCTCCTCATTCTCATGGTGTCCCATTGCCCTGAGGAGAGCCCACTCAGCACAGGCCCTCCTCGGCCTGCCTGCTCCCCTCTGCAGCCCATGCTTCCCAACACATTCAGCCTCAGACTGAACTTCTTGTTCCTGCTTCACTTGTTTGGCTAAGGTTTATTGTGTGTGTACTCCGTGCTGGCACCATGCTTGCATCGAAGGTTGGGAACTGTGTGAGAGTAGAGAGACGGGGTCACGGGGTCTGGGAACAGGTAAGGCCTTTCTAAGGACCAGACATCTGAGCTGAGATCCAGATGATGAGCAGGTGGTGGTGAGGGGGAGAGTGTTTCAGGAAGAAGAAATAGCTACAGCAAAAGGCCTGAGGCAGACACCAGTGGGACTCATTGGAGGAAGCAGGGTCCTGTGCACATAGCAAGGCCTCCACTACCTGGTACCCCATCTTTGTCCAAAGTTGGCAGCTTGGGAGCAGCAGGGGCCAAGCCTGGGCAGGTGGCAGGGCCAACTCCTGGGGGCCCATGGGGTAGACTGAGGTATGGGACATTTTCTCATTTAAAAATTAGCTTCATTGAGATATCCATCATTTTATCATTTTTTTTAAAAAAAGCTTCATTGCAATATAACTCACATACCATAAAATTCATCCTTTTAAAGTGAATAATTCGGGTTTCCCTGGTGGCGCAGTTGTTAAGAATCTGCCTGCCAATGCAGGAGACACGGGTTCGAGCCCTGGTCCGGGAAGATCCCACATGCCGCAGAGCAACTAAGCCCGTGCGCCACAACTACTGAGCCTGTGCCCTAGAGCCTTCGAGCCACAGCTACTGAAGCCCGTGTGCCTAGAGCCCGTGCTCCACAAGAGAAGCCACCACAACGAGAAGCCCGCGCACAGCAACGAAGACCCAACGTAGCCAAAAATAAATATATATATATATTTTTAAGTGTATAACTCACTAGTTTTTAGCATATTTATAGAGTTGTGCAACCATCAGCACTATCTAATTCCAGAACACCTTCATCATCCCCCAAAGAAACTCTGTACCCATTAGTAATCCCTCCTCATTTCTCCCTACTCCCAGGGCTGAGTAACCACTAATCTACTTTCTGTCCCTATGGATTTGCCAATTCTGGACATTTCCCATAAATGGAATCAGACAATATGTGACCTTTCTTGTCTGGCTTCTTTCACTTCGCATAATTTTTTTTTTTTTTTTTTTTAAGATTCATTCATGTTGTATCATGAATCAGTACGTCATTCCTCTTTATGGCCGAATAATATTCCATTGAATGGATAGACCACATTTCCACATTTTATTCATCCATTCATCAGATGGGCTTTTTCCATTTGGGACCTATTATGAATAATGCTGCTACAAACATTCCGTACAAATTGTTGTATGGATGTGTGTTTTCATTTCTCTTGAGTGGATACCTAGAGGTGGAATTGCTGGGTTATATAGTAACTCTTTTTTTTTTTTTTTTAACTTTCTGGCTGTGCCGCACGGCATGTGGGATCTTAGTTCCCCGACCAGGGATCGAACCCGTGGCCCCTGCAGTGGAAGTGCAGAGTTTTAACCACTGGACCTCCAGGGAAGTCCCTGTATAGTAACTCTTTGTTTAACCTTTTGACAAGTGGCTAGACTGTTTTGCACAGTGGCTGCACCATTTTACATTCCTACCAGCTGTGTATGAGGGTCCCAATTTCTCCACATCCTCTCAGCAACACTTGTTATTGCCTGTCTTTTGATTACAGCCATCCCAGTGAGTGAGAAATGGTATCTCATTGTGGTTTTGGCTAATGACTGATGACGTTGGGCATCTTTTCATGTGCTTCTTGGCCATTTACACATCTTTTTTAGAGAATGTCTGTTCATATTCCTTGCCCATTTCAAAATTGGGTTATTTGTCCTTTTATTGTTTTTTGTTTGTTTGTTTTGTTTGTTTGTTTTTTGGCTGCGCCATGCAGCTTGCAGGATCTTAGTTCCCCAGCCAGGGACTGAACCCAGACCACGTGAGTGAAAGTGCCAAGTCCAGACCACTGGACTGACAGGGAATTCCTGTCCTTTTATTGTTGGGTTGTAAGAGGTCTTTATATTTCTGGATACAAATCCCTCATCAGGGAAAAGGAGTTGGGACACCAGGCTGAGGAGCCAGGCCCTGGGCTTCCCTGAGCTCCGCACTCCCAGTCCCGGGTGCCGTCTCCGAGGTCTCAGAGAGGGACTCCAGCGTCACCTTCCGCCTCCAGCTCCCTCGTGTCCACTGCCTTGACCCACTTGAGACACCACATGATGAACACTTCACAGGAACTACAGTGTCTCCACCCACCGGGCCCCGGGCCCAGCAGCTGGTTTTCATATCAAGGAAATGGGAAAACGCCAATCCTTTCGGAGGTGACCGCAGAGAAGCTGCCACCTGCTCCACGCCCTCTGCAACACAGCCACAGTCTCAGCTGCGACAGATCAGCTGCCTCTGCATCCCAGAGGTCAAGCCCGTAGCCTGCCCGGGCACCCGCCTGATGGGTGGGCAGCAGGGGGAAGATACAGGCTTGTCTGCGGGAGGGACGCCTGCCAGGGCAGCCACAGGCCCCTCGGGCCAGGCCCTCCCTCTCCCTGCTTATTTAAACTTTCCTGAACCTTCCACAGTTTGTAAGCTGAGCTCCTATAACTTTGAGAATCAAGGCAAATGGTAAAAAAAACAAAACCCAACCACGGCTGCTGGCTGATTTGGCTCAGACGTTGGGGATTTCTTTTTCGGTGGCTGCCTGGAGCTGGGTGCTGGGCTGAAAACACAGGAGCAGTGGTGGCTGGGCCTGTCATGTGGGGGGTCTCACCTCCCTCTACAACCATCTGGTCTGGGGTGTTTGGCCAGCCAGCAGCCCCCAGCCTCGTGCCATTGCTTGTGACTCAGTGTGTATCGGGGGGAAGTGGGGGTGGGGAGGGAGGTTGGCTCTGGACCACTGCAAAGCTGCTGCCCTCCGGGGCACAAGGTACAAAGAGGAAAAGGTGCCTGACAATTCAAGGAGAGGGGTCCCAGGCACAGCTGAGGCCTGAGGTGCAGCCTCTGGAAGCTAGGGAGGGATCTACAGGTGGGAAAGTTCTGAACTGTCCTTCAAGGAGGGTTAGGATGTCAAAAAGGCAGTAAAGGCATTCGGGCAGAGGACAGCAAGCACGAAGTCCTGGCACACTGGGGAACTAACTGGTCAGGGCTGTTATCTCGGGGGTGGAGAGAAGCAGGTGAAAAGCCAGATGAGGCTGCCTGTCCCTGGGCCCCTGGTGCCTCGCCATGGGCCCACCTGCCCTGCAAAGCTCCTAAGTGCTAAGGGACCCTCCTGTCCCCGTCCCTAACTTTTGCCCCACCCCTCAGTCTGGTTCCCAGACCTCTCCCCTCCAGCCCTGCTGGCTGCTCTCCCAGACAGCGTTTTTCTTCTTTGCAGGATTGGGCCTCGGGCTTGCTCCTCGCTCCCGCAGCGCCCCAGCTGGGCCTGCCACCCACCACCTGCTACCCGCCCACGTGGAACCCCCTCTGCCCCTGCTGGTGTCGGCTTTGGCAGGCTCTGGGCCCTGAGGCCCCTCTGCTTGCTGATTGCTGATTACGCAGCAGCCGGTGGGCTTGGGAGCCAGAGCGAGAGATTTATTGTGGTTTTTAGGGGGCGTTTAGGAGCCGATGTGATAATGTCTGTGAACGCACTTTGTAAACTGTAACGGGGGAGTGCCATGCACACGTGAGGGGACTGTGGCTGGGGAGGGGATGGCAGCCCAGCCCCCAAATGACACCCTGGGACTCAGCCTGGAAACCCCTCCAGTTCCGGGGGTGGAGAAGCCCTGCCGGGCTCTAGGGCAGGAGTCCCAGGCTGCATCTGCTGGAACGGGGCCTTCCTGAGCCTGTGGGCCCGTCTGTGTCACCCGGCAGCTCTGAAATGAGCTGTGAGCCAGAAAGTTGCCTGGGTCCCTCCCTCACCCAAGAGGCCCAGTTGCACTGCAGTGACAGTGACATGCTTCCTGGCTGCAGAGTGGCTAGGACTCTGGACCCCCGACCCCCGCTGTGGGGGACTGAGCTAACAAAGGGGCAGCAGCTGGACTGGGTTGTCTTCTGGGAAGGGGAGCTCTGCCATCCCACCCATCTGGCTAAATGTTATCATCTGATTTTCTAGTGGCAAATGTTTGTTGAGCACCTACTATGTGCTTGGCTCTGACTCAGATATGACAAGGATCAAGACAGACAAAAACTTCCGTCCTCACAGAGCTTATATGGAGGGAGGGCAAAGACAGAAAGACCATCCATAGGTGAATAAAGATGATTTAAAATACTGATCGTTACTACAGAGACAGTAAAAGATGGGACAATCGGGAAGTACTGAAGTTAGGGGGTCAGGAAAGGCCTCTGTAAGGGTCCCTCACCCCTCTGTCCAGGTGGGCCTCTCTCTGGACAGGACTGCCTCCAGGACAATCCTGGACCCTGAGGGACTCAGCTAGTCCTCCCTCCCCACTGCCTGTCACTGCTACCAAGGCCTCTAGGCTGGGCAACCTTGGGGCTCCCCGGCCTGTGGTCAAGGGACTGTCCTGGGTCCTTGGGCTTGGGACTGGCTGCCCTTACTAATCTTGAGAGTAATGAGCAGTGAGCTAATGCTGTCTACGTGTTCCTGGTGCCAGGCACTGTTCTAAACATCGGACCTGAGTTGTCTAATTTAATCTACAGCACCACCAGATGGTGTGGGAACTGTCATTAATATTCCTATTTTAAAGACAAGGAAACTGAGGCCCAGCAAGGTTGTGTGACTTGCCTAAGACCACACAGCTGGTTCAGTAGAGCTAGGATGTGAACCCTCCAGGGCCCATGCTTTTCACTATTGCTGGTCAAGGTCATAAGCCTTGAACCTTATGACTGCCAGGCTGTGCTGAGTGGTTCTACACGCACTGTCCCACATCAGCCTCATTACAGTCTCTGAAGTCAGTTGATCGTCTTATGATCTGCTCCTACACTTTTTACAGAGAAGGAAACTGAGGCCCCAAGTGGGTGAGTCACAGCTGAGAGGTTGGGAAGTCAGGATTCAAACTCAGACCAGCTCAGGGGGTATAGATCAGGGGTAGAGCGTTTGACTGCAAACTCAGAGCAGCTCACCTCAGAACCTAAGCACTTAACCTCCTGACTCTCCCTCCTCCTTATCTGCTGTCGTGTTTGTGCCCCCGAAAGCCCATAGAGGCTGGGTTGTTCCCCCATGTTGCAGATGGGCACACCAAAGCCCAGGAAGGTGTTTTTGACTTGTTCAGGGTTGCTGGCTGTTGAGCCAGGCCTGCTTCCTGGCCCTAGCACTGAAAGGGCACCTGGTTGGGCCACTGTGGCCAGGGGGTGGTTGAGGAGATGGGGACAGGGTCCTGAGACGTTGGCTCAGGTGTGCAAGGCTCTGCGAGGGAGGCCTGTCCAGAACCAGCGCTGGGATCGAGGTGCCTGCATCTCCTCCATTACAGACCAGTCCCACCTCCTAGACTTAGCTTTGGATACAGCCCTGAGGGGGTCTCACTTTGCTATGGGGCAGGGACACTCTGGAGGGCCACAGAGGCTCCTGGCTTAGTGCCCTACAGTCTGTGACCTTAGCAAGGTCACCCTCTCTGAACTTGTTTCTTCTCTGTAAGATGGGATCCTGGTATCTGGCTGGATTTGTGACACAGCTTTTTAGAAAACTGTGTAGCTGGAGAGGGGTGGCTGGAGAGGGGTGGCTGTTGCCTGGCGCCCACTTGTCTTCTGCTCAGGAAGCAGTAGGATGAAGGGGTACCAGAGACACTTGCCCAGGGGAGTCATCACAGCTGCACCAGCCCAGGAGGGCTCTCTGGGCTACTCTGTTCCCCCCATGGGCACTGGCCAGCTTCTGACCTCAGATCTGTGGCCCTGAAGCCTGCTGTGACCTCACAAGGGTGAGGGAGGCACAGTTGTGCCCTCCCTGAACCTCCTGGACACTCCCCAGGTGGACTGCACCTTCGGGGAGGGATTTGATGCCAGTCTGAGGGCAGCAGCAGCAGAGGCCCTGAAACCTTGGCAGTGGGATTAAGGTGGAGAAAAATGAAGCATGGAAATCATTAGTTTCCTTGGTTGGCAAGAGCCGCCCAGAATGAACATTTGGGGCTTTTAAAATGAACATCAGCTGCAGGGACTCGTGCCCTGTGCCCGCCATGGCCCAGGCCGCCTTGTGGAATCCCAGTCCGGCTGTTCCTCTTTGGTTGCCGCTCAGCCAGCACTTACTGAGTGCCTACTGTGGGCCAGGCCCAGAGCCAGGATGAGAAGGAGAATCCAGCCAGAGAGCAGCAGGGCCGTGGCGAGGGCGCAGCCGCAGAGGCCACAGTGCCAGCCAGCAAGGAATCAGGCAGGACAGGGCAGGCATCACCACCTCCTGGGGGGCTGTGAGAGCAGGAAGGGGCTGGGTGGCCACCGCTGTGGGTGTGGAGGTTTCAGAGGCTTCCCAGGAGAGGGCCTCAAGGGGTGGGGGTGGGTATCCTATGGAAAGGGACCTGCAAAGGCACGGGAAGGGGCCGGTGTGTGAAAGGCCAGGTGCCAGTGTGACAAGGCACAGGCCTCCAGGGCGAGGCAGGCAGGCCTGGTGGGGACTGGGGCGAGCTGCAGGCCAGTGCTCTGGTAAGGCTGTTGCCAAGCGGCAATGCAAGGGGAGAGGCTTCCGCCTGAGCCTCCTCTTTTCCGAACTAAGCTGGAAATGGAGATTTGTCTGTGAAAACTACCGATTTTTAAATGATGGGAATTAATTTTAATTCAAAATAAAAATTACTATGAGGTCAAAGCAAGCACGGCTTTGGCTGGATCGGGCCAGTGGGCCAGGAGTTTCTGACCTCCGGTGGTGGTGGTGATGGGCAGGGGGCGCGGAGGTGGAGCCGGCTGCTTAGAAGTTGGGGCTGTGAAGGGCTGGGCCGGTTGGACGGTGGGGGATTTGTGAATGGGGAGGTTGGGGTGAGGTGGGCCGGTTGAGTGGGGGGCTGGCGTAACCCCACCAGCGGCGCCAGTCCTTGCGGGGAACTGGGCGCGGGTGGGCTGGGGCTTCAGGCAAGGGCCGGCCACTTGACTTTTCCTGGCTCCCTGACAAACCTCATTTTCTATTAGATGGGTTAAAGATTTCTCTGGCTGCAGGGAATGGCTCACAATGAAAAGGAAAAGGTTAGAAAATGTGTTTCCCACTTGGAGTATAGTGTCTACCATCTCCAGTGATCAAGACACCCACTTCACTGGACAAATCATACAAGACTTAATGTCACAAATTTCTTGAAATTATCACTGTCACTATCATCCTAAATCATCAAGCAATGTCAACAAAACTAATGGAGAAACTGGACTCAGAACAAAATAAATTATAGGGGATTAAATGAACTAAATATGATTATAGTTTTTATGAATTGTCTAACATACTGCTGGCTTCTAGTCTTTGTTTTTCAGGTACAGAAAAACCCTTTTCTTCAAGCTACTTATGATTTACAACAATTAGGTAATTTACACCTGCAGGTAAAATTAAAATATTTCCCGCGCCCTGCGCTCCGGAGCCCGGCCCCGCTGCCCGGGCTCTCCTGCGGGACCGATGCCGGCCCTCCGGCCGCCAGGGTAAGCGGGCAGCGCGGACGCGGCGGGGTGAGGCAGGAGGGTGGGTGGGCGCCCGCCCGGGGTGGGCGCCTGCCCGGGGGACCGGGTGCTCGCCCAGCACCAGCGTCTGGCACGTGGGGGCGTCTCAAGTTCCCTCTGGAGGCCGGGCAGGTGGCGAGAAGGCGGGGGAGTGATGCTCTAAGGCTGGCACTTACTGCGTGCCTACTGTGTGCCGGGTGTGACCGGCTCGTCTGAAGTAGGGTTTTTTTTTGTCCCCATTGTACAGATGAGAAAGCAGAGGCTAGGAGAGGGCAAATAGCTTGCTCGGGGTCCCCAGCTAGGAAGTGGCCAAGCCAGGATTTGACCCCCCCCCCCGAAAACTGGAGCTCTCCCCACTAGGGCACGCACAGCCACAGAGTGAGGGTATGAATATTTCATTGTAGAAGAGAAGGAAAAAAATCAGCCATTGTCCCGCCACCATAATGCAGCCACTGTAAGCGTTTAGGTTCTTTATTTCAGCCTTGTTCTTTTTTCCCCCTTTCTTTAAGAATGTGCAGTTTGGGGTCATTTAGACCCTGGTTCCATCTTGACTCTAGCACCTGAAAGCTGAGAGGCTTTGAGCAGATCCCTTAGCTCTCTGGGCCTGGGTCTCCAGCCTAGGAAAATGGAAGACACTCCCAGGGTTGCTGAGGGGATTAGATGAGACCTGGTGGGTTGCCTTGAGTGGGGGTGGGGTGGGGAGGGGCCAGGGCCTGAAAGAAAGGGGAGTCCCTTCAGCAGGGACTCATGGAGCACCTATTAAGTGCAGAACCAGCACTGGGCTCTGGCACTGGGGGAGGTGGGGGCAGCCTGGCCCATATATGCTTCTTGTAGGAGGGCTCTGTCCAGCACTTGGGACTGACTGCCTGGCTTCACACTCTGCCTTTGCCAGGCGCCTGCTTCCTCCTGGAGTGTCTGGGAGGGGGGATTAGTCCCCTGGCTTCACCTCTGCC